CCAATAAATATTTGGTGCTTTTTCAAATTGAAAACTTGGCAATACTGTCTTTTGTTCGATGCTTCCTCTTTTTCTTGTCGAGTTCGTCTTGCTCTCTCATTCTGGTATTTATTGACGTCACGGCCAATTACTCTCAGCTCGATTGGCGCAATCTTGTATTCTATCATTCTTGCTACAAACGCACCAAGCAGTTGGCCGATTTCATTTGAGTGAGAGTCTTTGAACTGTGAACAACACAACAGCGCCGGTAAACTTTTAAGCTATGCTAGATATGCTTTTAATTTTTATGTATTTGTTATTGCTACCGCCCCTGTTTTCACAAATTATATACATTTTCACTAGCGAAACGAGCCGACAAAAAATGAAATGGCATTTTAGCGTCCAACCTGACGAACAACTTGTCGAAGGTTTGCCAACTTGCCTACACACTGCTTATTTACCACCAACTTCTAGCGGGTGGCCGATAAATCGATACGTATGTAGGGCCTTTTAGATAAATAGGGTAATTCTCTAACAGTGGCCAATGTAGTCTTAAACCGTGTAAAACTTGTAAGTTTACGAGGCTTTTATGGGAAGGCCCCCATTTGCAAAAAGGTGTAAATAGGTGCGTAAAGTGACTGTTTGACAGATCAACCTGGATTTTGTGAAGCAATTTTTGTTTCGTAGCATTTTCCATAACATCCCGTCATCTTGTCTCTATCACTCTTCGCTTAAAATACAATTAAAAATGCCGAAAATTAGCAAACAACTTAAGTCAATACACTTAGTGGATGAAATTCATTCATTTTATTCGCGTATTATTTTTTTCATTTATTTTCATTATTTTATCATACATTTTACTGCTCTATTCGCGTGTTGTCACAGTCACAATTGTCATTATCGTGTCATCAACTATTGTCAAAGGTATGCACAGTCAATAATGACAAGCGAAAAGCTCGTTTTATTTGTCTATTGCGGCGAAAGTTTCTCTATAGTGAAACAGCTGTTCTTTGTTTACATTTTAATTGATCTATTTGACTGCCACTGCAACAGACGGGATTTCTTTTAAATAAAATACACCGCAGCAATGGATTACGAAACGCCGGAAAAGTGAGTAATTTTATAATAGGAAATTTTTTCATTTTATTATGAATTCGTGTAATAACAGGCGTGGAAAATATGAATGCACCGCACAAGAGCAGCAGCAGTTTTGTGAAGGCCACCAAGAACTGCAAACGTGTAAAAACTATAAAAAGAAAACTGTTGTCTCGAAGTTCCCTCAGAAGTCTTCTTGCTCCACAATAATAGCCGCGTACATAATGGCCCGTAGTCATAGTCAAAATAAAGTCGACTTTAAAGTTAGTTGCAGCTTTTTTGACAGATATCCCATTGAAAATTATGTCAAAAAGCTGCAACTAACTTTAAAGTCGACTTTATTTTGACTATGACTACGGGCCAATAATTATTTCCTCCATTAATAATATTCTGCAATGGATACTATTACGATATGCATACGCAAATAATAACTTTTTAACGCACTGATTTAGCCAAATAAAATGGTTTCACAGTTTTCGTTTAGTAAAATTTTGTAACTTTTTGCAAAATTAATAAAATTGGTAATTGATGAAATTGATTAATAAAATTAACATATGTTTTAGCGTTGTCATGTACTCAATAGGTTACCACAAAAATAGTAGCAATTGTCAGCGTTGGAGCTTTCAAATTGCCCTCTGCATACCTAAACGTGACAATTGATTATAAACAACACTATGGCCCGTAGTCATAGTCAAAATAAAGTCGACTTTAAAGTTAGTTGCAGCTTTTTGACATAATTTTCAATGGGATATCTGTCAAAAAAGCTGCAATTAACTTTAAAGTCGACTTTATTTTGACTATAGCCCGTAGTCATAGTCAAAATAAAGTCGACTTTAAAGTTAGTTGCAGCTTTTTTGACAGATATCCCATTGAAAATTATGTCAAAAAGCTGCAACTAACTTTAAAGTCGACTTTATTTTGACTATGACTACGGGCCAATAGTTATAGCGGCGAGATTTGTCATTGCATGCGAATAGGGCTGTTAGTATAAAAATTTCGGCCTCGACAACACTGAAGTCCACGGGGTCGTTTGCGCATCAAATTTGCCTCGTAAATTTACGCGTGAAAATTGTGACAGTTCTTTTACGAGGCTCGTAAATTTACGAGCTTTACGAAGCTTTTACGAGTTTAAGGGAATACCCCTATTGTTGCCATGTTCTTTACGTCTTGTCAATTAAATGCATCCTCACCAAGCAAAAAGTATTTTCTATCTGGCAGACCTATTTAAACGACTTGGCGCTACAGACGCATGTGTAGTCTTCTCATTTCTTCCCAATCCCTCTCTTTTATATGTAAGCAGAATTGGCTCAATACTTGAACGGTGTAAAAACCGTCTTACGAAATTAATATAGAATGTCTAAAGTTTAATCGATATAACGTCACCTTTTAATCGATAAGCTTATAAGTTTTAGCGTTTCACATCAACTAGCACAGGCCAAAAGTAAAAAAATATTAATAAATTAATAAAAATTTTAATCAACAATCAATTACAGCTTGCCGATATCAACACACACATGCTACATAATCGAGTAGCAAAGAGGAACAAATTTAGAACGAGAGGAACACCCTGGCGATAGGGGAATTTAAGTTCCTGCCAACCTATCCAAAACCAAAATAATAAAAAGAACAGTCTGGTAGAAAATAAAGGAGTTCCTTATTCCAAAACAGATTCTAAATTATGGGAGGTTGTCGCTGTTCGTTTCGTGATTGCACTGTTGCAACATCTCAGCATCCCGGCATGCATTTTTTCCACTTCCCCGTAAATGACCGGGAACGCTATATTAGATGGTTGAGCTTAGCAAATGTAATCCATATGCTCGAAATGCCTCCGGGCTTCCAAAATAATAAAGTAATTTGCGCCAGACATTTTCGACCTGAGTGTTTTAAAAATTACAGGAGGAATGGGATACTTCCCAAAAATGTGGAGCCCACATTAATGCCCATTAACGAAGAAATGGTTTTAGATTACGCTAATGAAGAAGAGAACGGTGGGCCTGAGTTGATTAAAATGCCGACCCCTACAATGAAGCATTTAATTCCACCGCCGGGATATACTCTCCCTTTTTCCCTTCATGACAACTTAAAACCGGGTAAGTACATAAGGCAGAATAAGATAATTTTGGCGAATGCAGCTACGCAATCGAAAGACATAAAGAGGGGCAATGAAACGCAACTAGACACTAAAGACCCAAGCAACTCAAAAAAAGCTAAAATTTTAAATTGTGAGACTATCGGTGTATCTTCTAATAGCAGTGAATCGAGGCCTGCCGATACTATTGTTAAGCTTAATTTCGATTTCGACTCAGACGAAATTAGTTTAAAAGAAGATGTAGATGTGGCATCAGATGATTACGAGTTCATAGATGAAGGTACAATTGAAATAACAAATAACAGTCTGTTACCTAATCAACAATGTGAAGATTCAACTGAAGAGTTGCAAGAAAAAGATTCACAATTTGAAATTGATCCTGAAGAACTAACTGATTGCATTAACCATCTCAAAGAACAGCTCGAAAGATCAAACAAAGAATCAAAAAGTAAAACAAATGCACTACAAAAAACTGAAGCTGATTTGGATAAAGCGAACATTAAATTGGAAACCGTTATGCAAAAATACGAAAAATTGTCGGCACAATTTAAACAGCTCAATGAGCAGCTCGAGGAAACTAAAGTGCAGGTAAACAGTAAAATCATTACTTTCAATGGGACCGAAGAGGAGTTGAAAACCGCAAACTTTAAATTGAAAAACATTGAGCAAAAATACGAGCAATTAGATGTTAACTATAAAAAAGTTCTAAAGCGCGAGCAGGACTTAACAGAGGAAAACCTTCGGCTTCAAGAGGAGAATTTCCAATTACGCGAAAAATGCAAACAATATGAAAAAGAAAATAAGCAAAAACATATAGGAGAGGTCTCTACAAGTCAAGCAGGATCATCGGCTGCAATGGATTGCGGCAACGTCAACCGTCGACAACCCGGTGCCACAGGCACTAGCATGCAGAACTCACTAACAAAAGCTCAACTTTTTAATGGTGTTAAAAAATATATGTCGTCTTCGATGGTTGCCTTGCTACGTATGGAGATGTTTGGTAGCGCAGATCGTGATTGGAAGCCGGATGAAAGACGTGTAGCAATGGACCTTCTGCAACTTGGCGACCAAATTTATAGGTATATTAGCGATGAGTGGCGTTTCCGGTTACCAGCATTAGAAGAAGTACGAAACTGGCTTGCTGATGCCACAAATTCTATTGATGATGAAGAAGATCTTTAATTATTGTTAAGCATAAGGCTTTTGTTCTATATTTAAATAAAAAATAATTATTTAAAAGAACACACACAAGGCCGATCTTGTTTGTAAAACTATTTAAGATGTTTCTAATTACGCTTCAGTAATTATTTCTACCGGCTGATCCAAGCTGCAAATAATGGATGAATTCTGAAAAATAGTAAATAAGATTGGACAGTTTGACATGGTAGCGATGATATGTACATATCGCTACCTTAATATAGAAAGGCCCTAACACATTTTGTTTCAAAATTAAGCTCTGTACAAAGGTCGGTAGATTTCTCACTAAAGACTTAAACAAATTTGAAATCAACTACTACATAAGAAAATTAGTTTATGCTTTTTTTATAACCAGTAGTGAAGAAAATCGCAACTGAAGAACCTTATCAAGTTTTGTAGCTACTATATCTTTATATTAAGTATTTATACTATAGAGTGTATATATTAAGGTAACGATATGTAACCTTTAACTTAAGCACATTTATTAGAATTGAGATAAATTAATTTCTAAACGTAAAACACTATAAATTTATCACATGATCTCTGTATTAACTGTTAAATTGTAAGACAGTCATAGTACCATGTACATATGTACATTTTTGTGTGTTTGAAATTCAAAATAAGTATTTGATAAGCTGTTACATACCGTAGTTTCGGCAACGCATATGTTCTGTGTAGATGCGTCACACAGCCAACCCGTCGGGCATGTGCCATTTACATCAGTCGGTCGTGTGGCACCAAAACAAAATGCGAATGTGGTGCGACTGGTGCATGCGAATACTTGATTTGCATTGCATAATCCACAACTAGAAGTATCGCCACAACTAGCTGCTGCTCCATTACTCTGGAAGCAAATATTTGGTTGATCCGAGCAGACAAGACCGTCAGCACAGTTGTATATTTGATTAGTATAGGGTAATGTACCTAGGAATGTATTCAAGAAAATCTTTAATGCACACTTGGGGACATACGAATTTCGTTCACATTTATCTACCCCCATAACACAAATAAAATGATGTTTCATTAATGCATGCTGCACTATTACTCTGGCAAACGTTGCATCCTTGGCTGGTTACACGGAGAATGATAATGAAAATTGCGAAAATCGCTATCTGATGAAAAGATGCAGTTAATTTAAAGATGTAACAAATTAAATCATATTCCTTACCAATATTTGGTAAATTTTTAACATCTTCTGTGAATTATATCTAACGGCGCAATACCTCGCGCAAATAGTTTCAGCACGACTAATACCAAACTTTTAATGTTACACAGCTTTTATGAAATTTTCGCGATTTTTTTTTGTTGGCTTTTATTTGAAAGTGGATATTCGGCCTTGCTTGCGATTTACAAACCTCTTAGTAAATCACAGGGTATACAGAATAACGCAAAACTAGTTTACTTGAAGTGTATTCCTGAAAGTAATTGCTGTTTTATGGCCTTAGCTCGCGCTTCATCGCCAGTAAACTAACAACTTTGTAGGACGTAGAGCGAAATGTAGCGTCCACTTTACTTCCACTAAACCTTTGTTAACCACTTCAGTGAGTCTCGGCAGTTACTGCCACTCTTTCCGTTTTTTGTCTTTAGCATTGCAATCCACTTGCGCGCTATTTATGTTAAAAATGAAATATCAGGATACATATGTACATATGTCGTTAGTATGTATCGAAATTCTCCTCTAATTTGCCATACTTTTTACTATGGGGTATAATACAGTGTCGGTATCTGGTTTCACCAGCTAATATTTTTGTCTATGCTCTAAATCTTATGCTATCTTAACTAATGTTAACCAAATATAAAAAAATTGTCAACACTTTCCATAAGTTGTTTTTGTTGTTTTCAACATTGTTGAAATACTTTCAGTCTTGTTGCGTATGTACGTGGGGTGTTGTTAATATTTGAAATTCGAGCAAAAGTGATCTTATCTTTTAATGTATTCTTAATTTTTTCCTTTGCTTTTAAGGTAAGTAAACGAAATAGATTAACGTCATAAACCATCAGATAAAACCCCTGTAAGAGAACAGTCCTAGCAGCGTTGAATCTGTCAAAGGCGTTTCTCACCGTTAGTCACTCCACGCTCCTAGAAGACATAGGGGCTTCCTCTCCTCCACAGAGACTTAAACGGTGGTCGGCGAATCATCTGAGTTGTCGAAACTCGTCAGTAGTCTTTAGAGACAAATCAAGCAAAACGAGGAAAATCTAAAACAGGGAGTCCCACAGGGTGGTATCCTTTCCCCGCTACTGTTTAACTTATACATTTCAAAGCTCCCTCAGCCACCAGAGGGAGTCTCGATTGTCTATTATGCTGCCGACTGATCGATAATGGCGTCTGGGAATGGAATTGATGACTTGTGCTCGAAAGTAAACGACTACCTCCGAACTTTCTGGCTTCTTCTCTGCAAGGAGCCTAACCCTCTCCCCTACAAAATCCTCGGCAAACTCAACAACAACCACCTGGGCGAAGGAGGTCGGACTGCAGATGGGTATTCACGTCGTAATAGAGTACAGAGTTCGCAACAAGGTCCTCAAGTCGCTATCAGGCGGCACCTGGGGCAAAGACAAAGAAACGTTGCTGGGAACATAAAAGGCTTGCCGTTTCTAAACTATGCAGCGCAGTGGTTGAAGCTACAGACCTGAAGCTACACGACGCTCCGAACCGCCACGTAATGCCTTCGGATGTCGCAAGAACACCATCTAAATGACGAGGCCGAAATTCGCCCCGCCAAGGAGCGCAATACTATGCTATGCAAGCAGTGCCTAGTTCGGTGCCACAGACGAGCACCCGAACAGACATTTGCTTGCTGCAGAGCCCTCGCCTAGATACGTCAGAAGGCATCTATACGAACTGACGGACGAGGTCCGGAAATTCATAAAACAACCACTGAACCTGACAGGGTACCGACAGGCCACAAGCGACATTCACAGAGATTCGGTCTCGACTTACACCGACTTCCGAGCTGTGAATGCCGTTTTAGGGACACAGCTACATGACGTGGACGAGATAGAACTTCGTCTGTCTCGGGAGACTCGCACCACCATAGCTCAACCCCGCTCTGGACACTGCAGCTAAACTCTTACCGGAATAGCATAAATCTAGATGTGGCCAACGAATGTCCGGCATGCAGAGAGTCAACCCATGACTCGCCACCCCCGACATGCCCCTAAACCCTACTCAACTAACTCCCCTCTCCTTCTTGTCCAACCCAGTCGGACTGGCATACTTGGGCCTCCCATTGGAGCTTGACGACAACGACTAAGTGACAGGCTGATCTTGGCAGTTGTAAGCCGCTACAACAAAAACAACAACTATACCAAATCTACCGGCAAGGGAGCATCATTCGCTGGGCAAACAATTTATGCTCGGTTTCTACCGGAAACAGCTAAACAGTCCGTTGATCCGGACTAACGCCGCAATTGATCTAATCAAAATTGTGCCTTGACAGACGGCAGTAATGCGGATTTACGAGCCGCGAAGTCGTGGGTTCGAATCCCACGGCCCGTAGAATGCTCATTTTTTTTTAATTATTCATATATAACTTCTATATTTCTTAAAGTGGTTTTACTTGGTTATTGTTTTTATTTTATTATTTTTTTATTATTTTTTTTTATTTTTTTTTTATCTAAAGATTTAAATTAACTAATAACAAAATCAAAAATGTGAAATAAAGTAAAACAAACGAAAATAAAATGAAGTAAAATGAAATATATAAATCAAATAAATTAAAGTAACAATGAAAACAAGTAAGAAAGTCTAAGTTCGGGCGTAGCCGAACATTAAATACCCGGCGCAAGTACTAAATATATGTTTTTCACCTTTTCGAAAGCTACCGCTAGATGGTAAGCCGGGGTGTATGAAATATTAAAGTTTCAAGCATTTCTGAAATTTACCGTTATATGAAAAAAATTATTGTAAATAACTATCAATTTTGAGTGAATAATCTTCAGTAGTTACTAAAATATCGCAGTTTTTGTAGGCGTGGTTATTGTCCGATTTTGCCCATTTTCAATACCATCCGTCCTAGGCCCGAAAGAAGTGCACGTACAAAGTTTCGTTAAGATATCTCTATTTTTACTCGAGTTATCGTGTGCACAAACGGACGGACGGACGGACGGACGGACAGGCAGTCACCGCTTAATCGATTTATCTTTTCATTCTGACCATTTATGTATACATTTGTCTATATCTATCTCGATTCGTTTTGCCTGTTACACACAACCGTTATGTGAACACAGCGATAATACCCTTGTGAACAAGTGCGCTCGGGTATAACAAAATGATTTTTTTTTGGCAATCGCTCTAACCGAGGATCGAACCTGGGACCTTGTAGTACGCAACTCTCGCCACTCGGCTACCGCGGATGAAGGAGCGGCTGCTTGGTGACTGCAATTACCGATGAAAAGGTATATGTCCATGCTAGATTTGCATATTCTCTGTATTCTACACTCTCTGAGCTTTGGTCAGTGTTGTCATAGAAAATTCCCTTGATCCGAGTTAAGTTTGGGAATTAACTCTAGGGGCTGGTTTCTCCAACTCAACTTAATTTAGTTTAGCAAATTTTTTAGACTTAGTAAAGAATAAGCTTTGTAAAAAGTGGGCTAACTTTTGACTTAAGTCCATAAAATGGCTAAACTAAGTTAAAGTTGAGTTGGAGAAACCAGCCCTAGGACTTAATCCGGATCAACAGCAGTTAATTCCAGAGTTAATTCCGAATTAACGAGTTGATCCGGATCAACGCTACCGTCTGTCTATGCTTTAACTCTGGAAGAGTCTAGTCTAGGAAAAAATGAATTTCTGGTGATTTTTCGTTTTTCTAACAACTTCTAGCTGACTTTGGGGACATCGCTCCAAGCAGCCAACAGTTTACCGGTGAAAACAAAGAACATACGAGGAGTTCGTCGTTTAAATTTCTAGTAGCAAAAATCTTATTATCATTTTGCAGTATTTTGTATGCTAGTCTTAAAAACCAAAACGCACCCACGTATATACGTATATATGTACATATTCATTACATAAGTATGCATGGATCGCATTGAAGTTGTTTTTATGGATACGAATAATTTAGAGACGTGACAATCTGTGGTTTTGGTTAATTTTCTTTTAGCACTAATTTCGTCGCATAGAATATCAGCGGGTTAAGTAATTTTTTTATAATATGTATGTCATGCATTACAAACAAAAAGAAGCCATAAAGAGGAAGAGGAGAGTTTGCATCAACTTTCGAAAGTTTTTTTTTTATTTTAAGTAACTCACTTTTGCAACTGTGGCTTTATTTAAAAGAAATTAGTAGGGTGTTTCTTAAATGTATGAAGCAAATTTTTACATCAGATTTCCCAAGCATCAACCCTTACGTCGATGCCACTATAGTGGAAGATATCACATATAAATATTGGTCCCGATTGGAGTCGGTTAAGGCTTGTCGCCCAGGGGCAAAATTCAGATTACCCTACACTGAGGGAAATAATGCATGGTAAAATTTAATTTAAAGCAAAATTGCAATTTTAAGCACAATTGGTTCCTTTTAATCACGTATATCAACGAACCAATTAAAAAGTCTTAATATAAAATACGGCAAATGAAAGCCAATGAAATTCTCCATAAACCGTGTATACATCACTTTCCGACTGGGCTTATAGTTTTTGACAAATTAATTAATCATTCCAGCTTTTTTTTATTTTTTTATGAAAAAATTAAAAATAAAATCAAACTTTAACGGAAGAAAAATTAAAAAAATAACAGGTTCTGTGCCAAATTTTTGTATTTGTACTAAAGCCTGTTCTGTTACAAAAAAAATAAAATAAAGTTGCTGATGAAGAAAATCGGCGAAATAATGAGTGGTCAAATAAAAATGCGCAAGATTATTTGTATGAAAATTGAGCACAAAGGAATGTTACTCATACGCCGCGTACACCTACATAAGTAGCACGCTTTTCTGCTTGCAAATATCTCGAAAACGTATCCATAGAAAAAAAAATTAGCTCGAATTTCGGTATGACCGAGCAATTCTACATAGAAATTGGATAATGGCGTCTGGAGAACAAAAACTAAATTAAAATTTGTGATCCATTGTAATCAAATGTCGCACTAATATTATTTTGACCATAGGTATACTTACATATAGTGTAAGCTCTAGCTTACCACATTTTACGCATGGATTCAACAACGTCGATTATGATGTTTAACTGGGGATTCGTGTTACCCAGACATGGTGAAAACGGCCTTTTTCTCTCAAATGTTTGCTTTCCAGGGAGTGAAGAATCAAACATGAAAGACCTATCGTTTTAAAATATTAAAAAGATAGCATAGCGTATGGGTAAATAAAATAATATTTTTTAAATTTTTTTGTGTGCCAATTTCACGATTTCCGATCTATAAATATTCGCACATACAAATGTACATACTGATTACTAATAAATATTAATTCGGACACTCTGTCGCCTGAATACATTTCTTCTGAGCTGCGCTGTAATATAGACCACTTCTGCAATTCATCTCTAATGCAAGGAAGCTTGAGCCACTACGTTCACAGTAAATGTATCTAAATAAATATTATAATTATAATTATAATTAAAAGTTACATAGAAATAGTTCATTACTTACGTATTACAATTTGCCGGATTTGCTACTTGAAAATAATAACTAGTTTCAGTCGAATTATTGCATGCGCCTAATAGATACGCTTGTGATTGCGTTGTCGTTGTTGTTGGAGTTGTAGACTGGGTCGTTGGAGTTATCTCCTCGGTGGAAGGGCATGTTATTTGTGCTTCAAGCTAAAATACACATACATACATATGAAATTAATTCACAAATAAAACCTCCATTATAGCATTACACAGGTCAACAATTTTAGAAAAAGTTTTTGGTGCCGAGATATCGTTAGGAGTTTTTTTAAGATAAATTGCTGATAAAAATAATTTTTATATATTTTTTCAACGTGTAGTTTTCGAGATATCGCCACCTAACGGCTATTGATAAAAGAGAAAAAGTTCGACCATAAGAATATCTAATATCTGTAGAAAACATACATACATATCGCTATATTAATTCACAAAGGCCCTAACCAACCATTTTTTTCGAAACTGCAGACAGATTGCCCCGTACAGATTTCGGCAGGATGTGTTAAAATACACCTTCAATAAAAAATTTAAAGTGTTATTACCAACAAGTAATTTTTAGCAAAAAAAACCGACTTCAACTCTCATATAAATAAAAAATATATTTATATACATATATCTCATGATCCACTGATCAGATCTTAACCAGATAAGTATGGGACCACCTCTGAGACACTACCTTTCCGATGCAAAAATAATTATCGAAAGCGTTTGAGGTGGTCCAAAGTTATGTGGTAACATAATACATAAAAAAAAATTAAAAAAAATAAAAATGAAATGAATTAATTAATGAATAAAAATGAAAACGTGGGCGCAAAGAAAACGGCTCATTTTGATTGGCTAAAAGTCAGCTGGTTTGAATTCGTTCAATACATTGTTGTTTTGCCGCATTGACGTGCGTCAAAAGTTGATTGTTGGGCGAGTTTTATTAGTTGCGGTAATGTGGCGTCTTCTATTCAAAATCACAGAGTTAACTTCGATGTTAGTCAAAAGCTTCCCTATGACGCAGAAAAGAACTTCTATCTGGCAAGCCCTTAAAAAGGCCTACCTGTTTTTGATACTCATTTTATAATGTTTTTGCTTCTCCTGTTAAATAAAAAATTTGTTGCTTAGGGCCTTTTGTGAATTAAGGTCACGATATATTAAATTAGGGGTAATTAAATTTGCGATATTTCATTCATTATTCATGATTCATGAAAATTACATGCTTCTTAGATATTCACAAAGATTAGCCCTGGAACACTAATAATGTTTTTAATACGTAATGTTATATTTTGAATACGATCCGATAAATATTTAGTACAGCTTTCATACAAAAAACATGCAAAAATTACCGAAAACGGCCAAAAACTTTTATTGTTGTATGGAAATGGTAAATTTTTCTTTGTTGAAATTCAAGTAAATTTTTCAATCATCTTCATTATCGTCTTGTAAATTCCAATAAATAATTATCTCCTAATAGAGCAACAAGCTTCTTGAAACTATACTAATTTTCCAGGCTTGCTGTTTTCTGGTGAAATCTCTCACCCTGATAAAAATACCTTCCACTAGTGTAGGTATAGGCGAATCAACTGACATTAGTGTTCTGGGATTAAAAAAGATTTTTTTTGTTGTAAAAATGAGAAATTTCTCGATTTAACACGACTTTCGATTTATGGCCATTTCTTGAAGCTAATACATTTACAAAAAATATAAGACATAAATGAAAAAAATCCACACAAAAAAGTCATCATATGACTTCTATTTCTATTTCTGCACCAAAATCCCTGTTGACCAGTGTAATGTATGTACATTTAATGAATGTTTAATACTCACGAAATCCAATGTTTCCAGTGGCGCACAAACTTTCTTCAAATTAAAATTGTATAGATCCTCACTGCAATATTGATTTGTTGGACATGATAATGGATCGGAGGCGACTTCATTTATACATAGGGCAAATTGTGTTGAGCTTGAGCAAATCATCTTTCCACTTGCCTTACCCTGACAACTACTGCCACACGAAGCAGTTGATTCGTTACATACAATAATGTTATTGCTTGAAGATGGGTCCGACTCACAGACATTATCTGAACTAGTGCAGTATGTACCGTCCTGACATTCATATATATCATCACCGATGGGACTTACTGTAAAAAAACGAGATGCATGTGTGGACATTGCTCTAATAAATATTAAGGAGTCTAATAGCATTTAGTTTGTCATTACTCACAAGTTGTTGATCCATCTTCCTCGGTGCAAATTTTATAGGTTGTATTAGTTATGCATGCAACGTAGTTAGCGCCACACTCCCCACATGTACTAGTGGCTGATGCTGCCGCCACAAAAAGTAAACATAGTGCGATAATCTGTAAACAAAAATGGCAACATTTAAGTGATTTTGCTTCCTTCCGCGAAGTACATGTCCTGGATGCCTTTGCAAAGCCACCTATCGGCCAGTTGCAAAACTCTCCTACGGCACCCTAACTTTACGGGAGTCGGAAAAACAGATTTTCTTTAACGGCGTTGCACAGTGCCGCTTAAGGGACAGTTTTTCAGTGCAAGGCTAAGTTTGAATGTATTTTAAACTTAATTTAAACGATCGAGCTAGCTGCCCTGCAGGAAATGGGACTAAGATTTTTTAAATTTTTTATATTTTTATTTATTTACTATTTTTTTTTAACATTACATATTTGCTTATTTGTTTACATGTTCTTTTGTAGGTGGTCTCATATTTGAATTCGATCAGACATACCATCAAAATGATAATATAAAATTTCGTTCTTTATTTTAATTGTCCAGAATACGAAAAAGTATCTGCGAAGTGCAGAAAAAAGTGTATTCTAAGTAATTTTTGTATGAGTATATTTAAACAGAAACATGTAAAGAAAACAAACTCCCGATAACGTCTGCATGACTCCTGCACGACTTTACAACTAACTTAAAGTTAGTTTTGTCATAGCTAATTAAGAGTTAGTTATTTATCGGAATCCCGCAAAAAAGCTTAGAGCTAGAACCTGGTTATTTTAATCAATTGATAATTTTTTTCTACAGGGTGGTTTAAGCTAAGATTAGCCAATCAAATGTCGGAAAGTTTTTAAACAAACTGGCCCTAAGTCGACAAAAATCGGGAAAATACGTTGTCTGCAATGTGTGAATGTGTTTGGTGTTTCTGTAAACGTAATTTATCCGCTGAAAAAAAAATTAAACCGAAATTTCCCTATTGCCGCTAAGTCAAAGACTTTTATACGAAGAATTTTGATCAGAAAATAGCATTGGGAAGGCTCTTCGCGGAAACAAATATCATAAAAACTTTATTTGAAATAAAATGTTGATTTGACGTTTTTATTTCCATATATATGTATAGTGGTGGTGGGATGTACCTAATAATTAAAAAAATTTTTCCTCTTTGGTTATTGTTGTTTCCGACAGAGTGGGTGTATGATGAATTTTGGAACGAATTTCCGTCATCCTTTGTTAAATTTGGTTTGGAGACAAATCGGTTACGGAGTTGTGCCATCTTCAGTGTGATTTTTCGTCTCCAAACCAAATTTGATAAGGGATGACGCAAATTCGTTCCAAAATACAGAAAATAATTTTGTTTTTCCTTCACGCTTGTAATTCACTGTCCTTTTAAACCAACTAAATTTGTCCCCTAAGGTATCTTTATAGCGGTAGTTCAAAAACCACATTAAACACTTTTTAATTTCCTATTAATAGTACATGTCCTATTGTATCACTTTCACTCACTTTGTCAGACATGTTTTCTTGTTTTTACTATAAGTTCTTGGTACTTTGAAAAATCTCTTGCTCTACCAAAAATCCTGCACTTAGCTTAATTTGCTCGAAACTGTTAGCATTCAAAGCAACTTCAACATATTTATATCTTAGTTAATGGTCATAAAACATCATTCGACATTTATCTTTATTATCTGGTATGTTTACTAAACAAATTTATTGAGGTTATAATCTGTATGTAAGCACAGTGAATAAATAGGAAGAGATTTATTAGCATAATATTTGTAGATAATATTTGTATTGTAAGAATTTCTAATGGAAATGATAAATCAACATCTTTCTGCTTGTTATTTTCATATAAAGCTATATATGTATAATAACAGACTTTTTTTTTATTTTTTCATTTGTATTCAAGCCTGTTCGTTCTTGGGCAAAAGAAAATCAAGCTACTAATCATGTAAATCGATGGACGAATAAACAAGCTGTGAATGGTCAAATGAAAATCGGTAATAATTTTTTGTATGAAATAGGGGCAGAAAATAATGTTACTCATACGCCACATCGTACATAGCTCTGGTCGTTCATACTCATACTCGTACATGGCGTACGTCGTGAACGAGCAACTCTTCACGTAAAAATGCATATTTCGCATTATAACAGTCGTGAACGTACTTATATTTTTCATATCCATTTTTCGAGGAAATTAGTATTATTTTTTTTTAATTTCACTTCGTTTGATTAAAATAAAACAAAAAACTTATCAAATATTTACAAAAACCTTAAAAAAAAATTAAGCAACAATGATAGACTGCAGTATAGCGAGAGCACCAGTTTGACAGAATAAAACCAAAGATCTTTAAAAAAAGGGAGCTGGCTATGTTTGTGGCTCACTTATATTCTATGTTCTTCTTGGTAACTAAAGTGCTGCCACTTTTGTCCGAAAAAATAGTTTTGGGAGACTCCCTTAAATTAATAAATAAAACACTGTAAATAGGGATTTAATCGGTGCAAATATAAAAAATCGGGACAGTCAAATATACATACGTCCCGACTTTTGAAAAATATTCAGCGGGACAACTTTCTTAAAATCGGTACGAATGGTCAACGTACATATGAGTAACATTTTCCATGTTAAAGTTTGAATTTTTTATCATTCGCAATGCAAAGTCAAAATGAAAATATCTTGGTGAAAATTACCACATCTAGAAAAATGGTGTACAGATCCGCAATCTACGATTAACTTTACTTACGTGTCTCGGCGTTTTTTGTGTAATTTTAGGGTACCTACAATTGTATCAGTGTAAGAAATTCTTTCTAATGAGGCTATAGATTTTACGAAAATCAGACTATGGTGAATTCAGCGATAGCCCAGATTGTAAACAGAAATATGCACATCTAAAAAAAACAGATCCTTATCTTCAAGTTGACATTGACAACGGGCCCTAATAATTCACCGTTGTTAAATACAGGTAGGTAGGTAGGTTGTCGCGGTCGTCTATAAGACACACTTAGGCTCAGGGCCCATTGTGATGCCGCATGTTGGGTCAGCAACTCCCGATCCCTCCTAAAACCATTTTGAACTTTGAACGAATTTTAGAAGATCCCTGATTTCGACGCATCTAAGGTCCTCCAAGTTGTCGAAGAATTGCCTACCGAGAGTGGAGAGTCTTCGTCTAGATAGAGCAGGGCATTGGCACAACAGGTGGAGAATCGTTTCCTCCTCTTCTTCATCTTGACAACTTCTACAGAAGTCATGTGAGCGTAGGCCAAGTCGATAGGCGTGCTTGCCAATTAGGCAGTGTCCTGTTATGACGGATACTAATAATCTAATATTGGACTTATTTAGACTCAGTAGTAGGCCAGTGCGGTTGGCGCTGAGCACCGGCCATAATTGTTTGGCAGTTTTGCAGGTGATTTCGTCCTGCCACCTTTCGTTCGCTACTTTAGTGAGCCTCTCGGAGATAAGTAGCTTACAAGTTTGCAAGGGTATTCCTATTTCGTCATTTATATCCTCAAAAGGAAGTTTCGTGCCAAGTCGCGCCAGTTCGTCGGCCTTACAATTCCCCTCTATGCCGCAGTGTCCCGGAACCCATATTACCTTTGGGCGAAATGACTCAGCCATCTCGTTAAGAGATGCGCGGCATTTCATGGCTACCATGGAGGTTGTCGACTGCTTCGTGAGGGACTTTATTGCCGCCTGGCTGTCAGTGAAGATGTAGATATCAACTTGGGGTATCATATCACACTTTACCAGTTTCGTGGCCCTGTCGATTGCCATCAGTTCAGCCTGAAAAACGCTACAGTGGTCCGGGAGACGAAAGCTGAGGGAGATTCCCAGGTGATGGGAATATACACCTCCTCCAACCCTACCCTCGAGCTTTGAGCCATCTGTGTATACATGGAGCGAATTTTACTCTACCGAAACCAAAAATGATTCATATCAAATACATACAGTGCCGGACAAAAATATTGGCACAGAAAATTTTTCGCAATATCTGCAAAGTTTTTTATTCTAATTTATTTTCGATAATTTTTTATAAAAATATAAACTTTGTGCAAAACTCTGGTAAATTCAATAAATTGGCATACTAATTATACCTTTCATGAGCATGAAATGGTATTATAACTTTGGTCCGATGTTTGTAAGTACCAGAACAAAAAGAGATAGACCCATTAAAATGTATACTTATATGATCAGAACGTCGAGCTGAGTTGATTTAGCCATGTCCGTCTGTCCGTCTGTCCGTCTGTCCGTCTGTCTGTCTGTTTGTATGCAATCTAGTCTCTCAGTTTTCGAGATATCCGTATCAAATTTGGTAGGTGGGTGTATTTTTATAATGTATTAATCATTTGTCGGAACCGGCAGAATCGGACCACTATAACATATAGCTCCCATACAACAGATTGTTCAGATATGAGATTTTTCGTTATAACTTCTCCATTTATGCAGCTACGAACATGAAATTTTGCAGTACTTGCACCTATTATCAACAGAATACTTACAGTGAAAATTACAAAGATCGGGTCACTATAACCTATAGCTCCCATACAACTGATTGTTCAGATATAAAATTTTTCGTTATAACTCCTCCATTTATATAGCTAGGAACATGAAATTCCGCACTATTTTCAATAAATATCAACAGAAAACTTACAGTGAAAATTATAAAGATCGGGTAACTATAGCCTATAGCTCCCATACAACTGATTGTTCAGATATGAGATTTTTCGTTATAATTCATCCATTTATGTAGCTAGGACCATGAAATTTCGCGCTGTTTTCACTCATTATCAACAGAAGACTTACAGCGAAAATAACAAAGATCGGGTCACTATAACCTGCAGACCCCATACAACTGATTGTTCAGATATGAGGTCTTTTATCATAACTCCTCCATTTATGCAGCTAGGAACATGAAACTTCGCACCATTTTCTCTCATTATTAACAGAATACTTACAGTGAAAATAACAAGGATCGGATGACTACAACATATATCTTCCATACATCTGATTGTTCAGATATGGGATTTTACTGTAAAACTTCTTTATTTGAACAGCTAAAACCGATAAATTTCGTAAGATATTTTATAAATAATAATACAAAGTCTACTGAGAAAATCATCAAAATCTATGCTGTATAAGCTTCATCTCCTATAGCACTGATTGTTCAGATACCAGTTTTTGCCATATACTAAAGGAAACTAAACCCAATAAATTGTGTTACCGGTTTACATACCGATCACATAGCAGTGAAAATCACTTAGATTG